ACCCATCAACAATAACATACTGTCAGGCAATTCTGGGGTGCCTAACTACCCAGGTCAAGCCATTCTGGGGTGCTTGACTTACCCAGGTCAAGCCATTATGGGGTGCTTGACTTACCTGTCGGTCTATTTCGCCCGACTACCGGGGACTATTTCACCCCTACCACTACCACGTAATAATATAACACACATATACTGCCAGGCAATTCTGGGGTGCCTGACTACCCAGGTCAAGCCATTCTGGGGTGCTTGACTTACCCAGGTCAACCCATTCTGGGGTGCTTGACTTACCCGTCTGTCTATTTCACCCGACATCCAAGGACTATTTCACCTCCTACTACTACCACATAATACCATAGCATAAACATACTGTCAGACAATTCTGGGGTACCCGACCTACCCTTCGGTCCTAACGACCGAACTTGGGGACTATTCTCCCCTGCTACCACTATCACATATAACATATCATGCTAGCACATAAACATATCAGGTAGTAGCAAACCTAGATGAATATCACGAAGACAATCATCTCACATACAACTACTGGTGGGCCGACATTGTGGCCGTAGACCCACCGCTACTGGAAGGTAACTCACCTCGATGTCGTGAAGTATCTACACTATCCTCGGTATGGAAGTCGACTCGTCACTACTCCCCAATCCCTACACGACAACCTTCTCCGCTTACTATTGCATACTCATAACCCTTACAAGGGTCATTCCAAATCCAAGTCAAATTCAAATTCAAACCCTGGTCAAAGTCAACATTTGGTTGACTCGACTCGCTGGGTTGACCCGCCAACTCGTCGAGTCCCCATAACCATAAAATGTCTTAATCCCGTCCCTATCCGTCTAGTCTATCAAGAGCCCAGCGAGTTCGCCTTCAACAACACATCGGACAAATCTTCAACCGAATCGCCGAGTTCGTTCCTGAACTCGTCGAGTTCATCTTCATTCATGAGAAGATGTTCAGTCTATGACTTACCGAGTTCCTCCTGAACTCGCCGAGTCCGTCTTCATAAGTTGGGAGATTGCCTTGGACTCGCCGATTCTGTTCGTCCACTCGTCGATTCCCATGAGTTTCAGGTCCAAAACAAATCGCTATCAGGCTGAGTGTTCCTTCCACTCAACCAAAACCATTTACAGGAGACACTTTGGGGGAAAAAGTGTCCCGACTCGCCGAGTCCCTCTTTGTCCAAAACTATACAGTCAATTACAGAGGGACTTAATGTATCCCAATCATAGATCTGACCTCCTAGGGTCCCTTTTATACGTAAAGCTATGAACTTGATGTCCATGCATGGGGTTTTTTGCTCAAAAGGCTATAAAATGGGTTTTAGATGATGCATGGGTCTCCCATGGCCATAAAGTTGGCACCTTTATGCCATGGGAACCCTCAATGGTTCCAGATCTGAAGCACAACCCACATATACAAGCAAAACTGAACATAGCTTCTCAAAAGCTTAGAAAAGGTGGAGAAATAGCCCCAAAACAAGATCTAGGAAATAGATGGCCAAGGTTCGAGCTTTTTACCTCAAATGGGCTGAGAATGGAGTAAAACTTCTGGATCTCCTTGCTTCTACTTGAACTCCCAAACTTCTTTTTCCTTCTCTAACCTCAAACACACAAAAAGATGCACAAAATGGCTTGAGAGCACTCAAACAAAGCTAGGGTTTCGAGTTGGGGTATTCTGGAAGTGAGAGGGACGATGAAGGTTGGTTTGAGGTGAGTTAAGTTGTTTAAATAGGGTGCAAACCCTAAATATTAGGGTTTTGTCCATACAGCTCCTACTCGTCGAGTCGGTCTTCCGACTCGTCGAGTAGGTCACTTAAACCCCTGATCAACAGTCGAGCCTACTCGACGAGTTGGGCCTCCAACTCGTCGAGTCCCAGAGTAAATTGCAATATTTTCTTGAATTTAAATACGTACCGGGAACCGGGTGCTACACATTCCTTTTGAGCCTTGAAATGATTTACATGCTTAACGGGCCATTGTTGTCCACTTACATGTTCATTGGGCCTGGAATGTACCTTATATGTTTCTTTTCGCGTAAATTCGATTAAGGATCTAGTGAGACGTGTCAGTTGACACCTATTGAGTGTACGATCGTAGCCTGTAGTTATAACCAGAGTCTCCTGGAGGGAGATTGGGAGTTTGTGTATAGATCTATACGGGGATGACACCCCACACCCGAGTTGTTCGCTACAGTTAGACTAGGCCAGTCTAGGGTGACAAAAACCTTATCTTATTCTGTCGGCGTCCGAAAAACGCCAAGACAGACGAAATTGTCATTATCTAGTATGGTTTTAACGACTCGCTTAGAGAAATTAACGTTATAAAATTTACGGGAAACCATTCTCTTTTCTCTTTGGATTACTCGGTAACATACTCGCGCTGGTACTCAACCTCGGGGGTTGATATACCATCATTCTCTTTCACATATAACATCGGGCTGTCTGGGGTCATTCTCTTTATATTCTCTTTGTCATTCTCTCCATTCTCTTTTTGCATTCTAGTAAACATTAACACACATGCATTAATACAAGATCGGACACAAACATACTAAACTGTTTTAAGAAAATATTGGATTTTCTGGTGGTTACAAAGTTATACAAATCATTTTCTCAAACATGCTTATGAGCTCACCAACATTTTTATGTTGACCTTTTTAAATTAACTTGTATTCTCAGGAAACCGTTGAGCAGGTTGGGCAGAACGAATTCATGGATATTTTGCTATACTTTGTTTCATCATACTTTAACTATTTTGGCATGTAATATTCAAAACACAATACTCGATGTAAACAATGAATGTTGTTATATTACATGTGTGATGATGATGATGTTATGTTTCAATTATATACTATGTGATGATACTGCAAAAAATAAAGTCACACCAAGCCCCAGAAGTTTCCGCCGTCAGGTTCGGGGGTGTGACAGTTTCTGACACGTGTCATGCTCTAAGACAGTTGTATCTTCGGAAGGTCATAACTTTTGCATACGAGCTCCGTTTTTTACGTTCTTTATATCCACACGAAGGTGGGCGTACTCTACAACTTTCTTTTAGATCACTAAGGCTAAAAAGTACTTTATCATAAACTCACTTTTTACGATTCCCGGTGTCGTGCCGATTTTGTCGCGAAACTTCGACAGGTCATAACTTCTTCGTTATAACTCGGATTTCAGCATTCTTTATATGTACGAAAACCTTGTGACATATACTACAACTTAGTTAAGATTATTTATTCTAAATAATCCTCTATCAAAAAGTAATTTTTGACGTTTATCGTCTCTAAATTGACTAGCCCGAATCTGCGAGCGCTACAATACCCATTTGCAACCGATGGGTGTGTGGGATGTGTATGGTACAAGTTCACATGTTTGGTTTTGTAAAAGAAAATTAAACTCCAAGTCCATGGAAATACGCCATTTTGGATCCTTAAGAGCCTGATTATGAGTGGAGGGCTCAATAGTGGAATGGATAGGGTAAATGGTGGTGGAATTAATGAGTAGATGATTGAAGTATTTTGGGTTTTGCTTTCAGTTTCTAGGAGGAGGGAAAGGGTTGGACCGTAGGTTGGGAGGAGTTGAATTTGGTAGTGGTGGGGGTTGATGGGGTGAGTTCGGAGAAGAGGGAGAAGGGGAGCTTCCTCAACCATAGGTAGTGTCATATCAGCGACAGGGAGGGTTTGGGAAGGCGGATTAAGTGAAGGTAACGATGTAATAGGACGGTGTGGAGTGGGGTTGGGTATGGGTTGGATAGTAGAGGAGGTGATAAAGATATCAGTGGTAGGAAGAGTGGAGGAGTTGATGGCATTCATGTCATAAGGAAAAATATGCTCGATAAACTCAACATAGCGGGAGTGATAGTATAACACTTGGATTGGGTATGTTTCGTCTGTGAATGGATTGAATCCAAACATGTTTCCACTGTCAGCATCCATACCACAGACCAGTTAGCCGGTATTTTCACAAAACACGAGGAGGAAAACGTCTTAAAATTCTAGCTGGCAAGTTGGGTGTTCGTAAATCGTAACCTCCACACTCCAGCTTGAGGAGGAGTATTGGAAATCGTTATTTTCATTTAATTTAGTACTTATCTTTAGCTTTTATTCTTTCTTTATGTTTGGTGGTTTGTTACCGATTCTGTTTTGGGGTTACTCTCTCGTACTCTATTTAACCCTTTTTTGGGTCTTCGAAATAATTCAATTGAACCTTAAATTCCATTAAATATTTAATGTCGCCGTCCAGAAAAAAAAAAAAAAAAACTAATCCAAAACTAACTTTCGTTTAAATGCTAAAAACTAACATGTAGAAACCATAAACTCGTCCGGATTCAAAGATATTGGACAGTAAACTCATTCGAATCCAAAAAATAAGTTCTGGGATGTGATGTATACCATACATTTGATTTTGCAAATAAATAAGGATAAGGAGCATGACATGAACACACGCATCTTCTTTTTTTGAACAACTATAATTGTATTTTTTTTTCCTTCGAACATTTGGCTCATATTCGAACACACACACAGATTCAACATCTCTTGCAGATATTAATTTTGATGCATACCTCCATAAAATCCGACGATGGCCGCTTCACAGTTATTTCGTCGATATGAAGCCGTGAACAGACGCGTATCTATCGGATCTCAACTCTCAAGTCTCAAGTCTAAAATAACACATTTCATATACCGTGGTTTAATTAAACGGGCAAAGTCTTGAATTTTTTTTTATATAATCACTAAAAAAAATCATTTTTATGAATATCCTTATATTCAATGTAACAATTATTAAACTAAACGAAATGAACCCATGACAATTGACATGCCACCTTCGCTCTGTCGACAAAGCAGATATTTCATATATGCAGTTTTGTATTTATAGAGATTTACACGAATTACCCTCTCTCTTTCCTTTTCTCACTTTCATCCCAAACCCATTTTCGTCATTTCGTCAAATAGAGTCACACATACACATGCTTCATACTTTCATCTTTGTACTCTTCCCTCCTTGCTTCCCCTCATTCAACACACGCTTATATAAAAAAAACTCCAAAACACACACACCACACACAGAGCTTGAAAATCACTTTACTTTTAGAGAGAGAAACAAACATATAACTGTAGATTCTAGAGAGAGAGGAACAGAGTGAAATCATGAGGTCGAGCAACCATCTGATTGGTATGTTAAACTTCCTGACGTTCCTTCTATCAATTCCAATTCTTGGTGGCGGAATATGGCTGAGCACGCGGGCAAACAACACCGATTGCATGAGCTTCCTCCAGTGGCCATTAATAGTCATCGGAGTCGCAATCATGGTGGTCTCACTCGCTGGATTCGCCGGCGCGTGTTACCGGAATACTTTTGTAATGTACCTTTACCTCTGGGCGATGTTCGTCATCATCGCTCTGCTTATCGGGTTTGTGATATTCGCCTATGTGGTAACCGACAAAGGATCGGGTCGACCCGTATTGAACCGGGAATACGAGGACTATTACCTACCGGACTATTCGGGTTGGCTTAAGGATCGGGTTGCAAGTGATAGCTATTGGCGGAAAATCAGTTCCTGTATCCGTGATTCGAATGCGTGTGCGAAAACGGGTCGGGTTGTTGGTGGGTTTCCGGAGTCTGCTGATATGTATTACCAGCGAAAGCTCAATCCAATTGAGGTAACACTCATTTTCTTTTAGTGTTGTAGTAAATTATTTTTTTATAATTATTTAAGAAAATAAAAATGATAGATATTTATCCGTTGGACATACTATATTACTATTTAAACTAATTATTAGCCATGGTCTAGTTATACATTATCTGTCATTATTGTTTGACATACGTGAAAGTTATTTTAATGTTTATTTTTTTAAAAGTTATGTGATGTTTTGGTTTTTCTAAACGAAGTTTCTTTTTTTAATATTGATAAAGAGAATGTAACATTAGTTAAATATGTGTAGCAACAGTATTTTTAATTTTATCATATACGGGAAACAAGTATGAAAGACAAAGATGAGTAGGTGAGTATGAACAATTTAATTAAAATAAATTGGTAAATTTATTGGATTAATGTTAGGTGTGAAACGATCGTGTCGTTGTCGTGTACATTAATGATTGGTGCCAGTTTTTTTAATTGTCCATACTACTTGTCGTGTAATTTCGTGGAATAGGACACCTATAACACGTAGCAAACATATGTATACAATAATTGAAAAAAAAATACTAATAAGTAAATAAGTAATAGAATGTGGAAATAATTCTAATTACTGACTATAATAAATATAACTATTTAATTTAAAAGCATTGAACACTTTTTAAATGTAATATACATTCATGTAATAGTTCTGTATTCGTCTATACTTTTGTTTGTTACTAAAAACCAACTTCACTTTGTATTTTGTTTTTTTCTTTTTATGAAATAAATCCATTAAAATTCTTCTGATAAATTATGTCAGATTTACCTAATATTTGTAGGGTCATAGAGGTTTAGAAATGCAATACACGTGTTGAAGAGAGACAGTAGAGTGACACAAATGGCCTAACAAAGTCGTTTCAGGTGTCACTATATCAACAAAGCCCGACTTCCCAATGGATAACCCATAGAAACGGTCCATACGGGTCGGGTCACAAAGAAATCGAAACAAAATCACAAAGCTTTAAAACCATTTTTTTCGTTTTGTTACAAAACAATAAGTGTCAAGAAAAGCCCCCTAACTTCTGACATTAGTTCCGATGGGACCCCAAAAGTTTGGTAACATTTATGAAATCCCAACCGCTATTAAAACCAAAATAGTTTAAGGACTGTTTTTGTAATTCATTCAAACTTATCTCATCCACGCATACGAGTTGACTTGACTTCCCATCCACCTCTTATCATTTTCCATGCACATTTCACGCACAATCCAAAATGTATCCATATGACCATATCTATCCAACTTCTTCAATTTTAAAAGTCTATAATATAATCATTACATAATACATCAATTATTTTCAAAAATCATATTTTTTTTTATCAAAATCATTAAATATTAATTTTGTGGATTTATAGTTTATTAGTTGCTTGGTCAAAAGATCCCAAATCTCAACTGCCCCCTGTTACTTACCTTTGCATTTTCCCTTCTGACCTTAATTCTCCCCTTTCCAAGCCACGCCCTCGAGTCCCACTTGCCTTTTTCTCTTCTATTATACTTTTACTTCGCCATATCATCAAAAATTTAATTCTAAAGTAACGAATTTTTGGACTTTTATAATGATAAGGATGATGTTTGAAAATTTTCCTTTGATCTAGTTGGTAAATTGGCCCCTTGTGTACGAATAAATAATAAGAAAAAATAAATTTCTTTCTAATTTCCTTTATACCCACATTCTACCAATTTAAAATAGGAAGTAATTTGTACGCAATAATTTTTCTTCATACACAACAATACATATTTTAAAATGTTATATTATACAACTCTATAAAACATGAACTGTTGTGTATGAAAAAAAAAACTATTGTGTACGAATCACTTTTCATTTAAAATTGTGACAAGTGTCTTAAAATATTATTGTGAAAATAAAACTTATCACTTGTCATAATTTTAAATTGGTAGAAATATATGTAGCAAGGAAAAGTAGGAGGATATTTGATTTCTCAATTAATAATTATTAATGAAACTTTTTGTTTAATTATTGCAGTCGGGATGCTGTAAGCCGCCAACAGAATGTGGGTACGTGTACGTGAACGAGACAACATGGAACCCGGTTAACTCAGCGTTAGCAGCAAACAATCGTGACTGCATGAGATGGAGCAACGACCAGGAACAGTTATGCTACGGGTGTAACTCGTGTAAGGCGGGGGTGTTGGCAAGTCTTAGGAAAAGTTGGAGGAAGGTTTCGATTATTAACATTGTTGTTCTGATTCTCCTAGTGATTGCCTATGTTGTTGCTTGTGCGGCTTTTAGGAACAATAAGAGGATGGATAATGATGAACCCTATGGAGAGACCCGAATGGAGAAGTCACGACCTAGTTGGATACAGTTTTAGTTGCTCTCGAATTGAAAGAGAAATTTAAAAGGTTCTCTTTTGTTCGGTTTTGGATTTTGGTTTTTAGGGTTTTTGAAGGTGTGTGTATGTTTTAGCCTTTTAGTTGTGATGATTTTGCTTTCGTAAATGAAGGGTACAAACTCGAACGTACATATCATATATATGTTATTTGCATTTTAATTTCTTTGTGATATTTCATGTATGTTTTGAAATTTAGCATATCATATATATGTTATTTGCATTTTAATTTCTTTGTGATATTTCATGTATGTTTTGAAATTTAGGTTCACTTAAAGGCCCTGTTGTGTTTTATCAATTAAAATTATTGTACATGTAATAGTTCTACTTCTATTTGTACGTGTTTAGTTATAATATTAAGACTAGGTGTCAGACTCATGTATTACATGAGTTTATTTAAAAAAATTAAATATAAAATTTTAACAATTTGAAAATTTTGAATTTATAAGAAAAATGAGAAAAAGTTTTGAATTATTAAAATTAATGAGACTTTAATGTATTGAATACATTACATATATAAACCAATTCTAATAAATACCTTACATATATATTACCTTACATGTTAAATGTGGAATTTTAATTTAATAAAGTTAAAAATACAATAAAATGACAAATGGAAAATAGAAAATTTAAAAATTCTAGAAAATGACATGTGTATAAATGAATGAGAAAAAGACATGTGGCAAAAAAACCTTCATTTATTAGAGTAGATAAGGGTAAATAAAGGTGTATTCCGTCTTAAGGCTGAAAATGAATCGAGGCGAGCTCAATTAAATTGCCTTAGGTTAAACTTAAACTCAATTTAACTGTTTATCTATTCTTTATTATCTCGACTTAACAGCTTGAGCAGTTAAAACCTTTTCATAAGGCTGGAGGGTGTGGTGTCACCGAAACCGCACTCCCTCCCCCGCCACATAAGCGTCATGTCATTTTTTACCACACAAGTGTGGTTTCTTGCCATACCAAGGGGGTGGTGCCACACTTTTATTTTATTTTCTTTTTTTTGTTTTTTTTTAACTATTTTAATTTAATAAAACTTATTTGTTTCGCATTAAAAAGATTTCATAAAAACTTAAAAAAAAAATCCTACAACCCATTTGTTTCATCACTTCAAAAAAATATAAGCCCTAAAAATTTAATACTTGTCCTCTTTTGTTCAATATGCTAGGAATAATACATATTAAATAAAAAAACAAATTAAAAAAATTAAAACAGCAAATAAATATTCCCTTGGTTTGTTTCATTTGTGGGTTTTGTAGCCCAATAAAATGTTTAAACGAGCCACAGATGAGAAAGAATCCAGCAAGAGAGAGAATATATATAAATTGAATAGTGCGGTAGTAGAGAGCCGTGGAAAGGAGGAGTGCAGTTTTAACCGCACACAAGGGGTGGTGTGCTGCAAGCTGAGGTGGCAAAAATGTGGGTGCTACCGCACCCACTCCCTCTAGTCTAAGAAACCATGACCAGTTAAACAAGTTTGGTTCGAGCAAACTCAAATAACATTAAAAAAAAAAAGCCGTTATTGTTTTTAACAGTTTTGTAATAAAACCATACATCAAATAAAATTTATAACAAATTTGACATGTTCATCCCTCATTTAGAATTTTTGAATTTGTTATTGGATATAAACAATTTTTTATATATAAGACTTTCATATATGTAGACGTCTTAATAGAGCTCGCTTGGAGCGACTCAATCATGATCCAAACATATTAACAAGTTTCAAAATCTAATCCAAACATGTTCCATTACCCAAATGCTTTTGAATAATCAAAAAGATATCTTTATCCTCCGAATCAACAGATATCCACCTCATCAACCCGACCAATTTAAAATATTAAGAACTTGATTGTAGTCGTAAACATGTAAAATCGATTGTAGAAAAGCATAAAAATCCAACAATCTATATTTATTTATAACTACTATCCTATTATGAAAAACTCCAAAAATAAATTGCTATGTTTTAGTTAAAAATTCAAAACGCCAGTGGCGGAGTCAGAGTCAAAGTAAAGGGGTATCCCAAATCGTTGCTTTCGGTTTCTCGGTTTTTCAAACTCGCTTTCGGGTTTAAACCCAAACTCATTCGAAAGTTTAACTGGTTGAGATGTGAGAAGCTTGTTTTGCTTATATAATAGGTGTATAAGAGTTATGTTTCATTTATGGTCTATGTGGGATAATTTTAGAATTTTTAAAAACAAGTTGAAAAAGTGATAAACAAAATTAAGTAAACCCATGAAAGGGCCAAGATTTCAAATTGAGACCTCAAACTTTAAATTAATTTTCACAACATCATAGTTATAATCCGTATAAAGCTATATAAAAGCAGCTGAGAAAATAAAAGAAGATAAATGTGTAAAAGAAGATTTGAACTTGCAACCTCCAATAGCATTCCCTAACGCCTTAAACATCTGAACCAACTACAACTTATGTTATTACCTCGCTAAACATATTAATATTATGTATAAATACACTGCATAAAACGAAATTTTTCTAACAAAAATTTAGTACCGAAATTTTTTGAGGGGTATCCCAGGATCTATTATAGATCCGCCCATGCAAAACGCACTCGGGGTCTTAGAAAACCGTCAAAATTCAATTGGGGGGGGGGTAGTAGTTTGTTTTACAAAAAAATCGATTGTAGACTTGAGAACTTGAGGAGCGATTCATCGTAGTGTGACTTGAGTTGAGGTGCAATTTGTGAATGCAGATGTAAGATTGTCTATTGCAATCGCAAAGTTGAGGGGCGATTAATGATTTTCGAACTTTAAATTGTCGATTGATGATTTATAAATAATAAAGTGGTTAATGTATTCTGGAAAATCAAAACGAGAACGACTGCTCGAGTTCTCGCCTCTTTGGTAGTCGGTCCTCCCCTCGATGGTTTGGCCTTTGGGCTTTGTATTTGGAATTATAAATAGACAAAATTGCAAAAATGGTCCCTGTGGTATGCAAATTTTTTGTGGTTTTAGTCCAAACCCCGAGTTTTTTGGATTCATGGTCCTTTTGGAGTGGTTTGTATGTGGAATTGGTCCTCGGACTTAACTTCCGTTAACTTGTTGCTGTTAACCCCCTCACGTGCCTCTCACATGAGGGTATATTTGTCTTTTCACTTCTAAGGGACCATTTTTGCACTGAAAAAATATATTCCTTTTTAAAAAAAGTTAATACGTATTTAATTATTTTAATAATTAAAAAATAAAAAAGCTCTCTCTGTGTGTGTGTGTGTCTCTCTCTCTCTCTCTCTCTCTCTCTCTCTCTCTCTCTCTTTCTGCTACGATATCCACCAAATCTAATAGCATCCACCAAAGTAGAACCCTAATGTTCTTCTGGTACACAAGACCAGACTACCATCAATCAATTCATACCACACATGCCATTCAAGAACACCGACATACAAATAAATTTATGGGGTTGAACACCCACAAACAAATTGATTTCCAGAAATGAGAACACACACATTCTCCAAAAACAAAAACACATGCACATATCGATTTCGAAAATGAAAAAACAAAAACAAAACAAAAACTCAATATCTGATTCCATTTGTGGGGATTTATACACATAAACACACATAATTTCAGTTTAGATTCAAATTTAGGGTTCTAATTCTCGAGTTACCATCTAAAAACCCCTTAGCGAACAAATCTGGGAAGGAGGCGATGATCTTCACAGTGTGCCACTGCAAGATGCAAGCTGTAAATCAAAAAATTAAATAGATTTTGAGGTAGCTGCATATTAGACTAAAACTGAAAGTCGTATATTTATTTCCCTCTCTCTTTCTCTCATCCGTTTGAACCACCATCAGATGCCACATTCACTGTCGGAAGCCATTAGGTAGCTGGAAATTAGAGCTGTGACAGGACACCCAACGACCAATCGACCATTAGATTTCTCACCTCATCAATTTCATACACTATCAAGCCCTAGATAAGTACCAGCAACCACCGGAACATCATACTGTTTCCTTCCACTGTTGTCGTCGCCACAACCTTTCCCTTTCAACGCAACATTTGCCTTGCTGTTTCCGATGTGAACTCCGACGAACAACCACCCTTTCCTTCCACCGTCGTTGTCGTTGCAGTCATTTCCTTCCAAACCCATTTTCGCCTTGTTGTGTCTGATGTGAACCCCAACTAACAAAATCCTTTTAGCTTCCCAAGTGTTGCTCCGCTTTCAGATGAAACCACCATCTTCCAGATTTAGATCAAGATCTTCAGCGACCACTGGACCATAGTGCTTCTCACCGACGGACGGGAGGTACAGAGTGACAGGAGTAAATTTGGGGGTGGGGTAAATTGGAGTTAGGGTTTCTAAAATTAAAGATGGATTTAGCAATAGAGGAGGGTGAAGATACGAGAAAGATGATGATGATTATGTTGTGTGCACATTTCTCCATTCCCCAGAACATGAATTCATTTTTTAAATATGAAATCGAGTTTTGATCTAAAATGGAGAGAGAGAGAGAGAGAGAGAGAGAGAGAGAGATAGATAGAGATCTTTTAATTTTTTAATTATTAAATTAAGACAAAACTGCAAAAATGGTCCCTGTAGTATGCAATTTTTTGGGGTTTTAGTCCAAACCCCGACTTTTTTGGCTTCGTGGTCCTTTTGGACTGGTTTGTTTGTGAGAATGGTCCCTGTACTTAACACCCGTTAAAAAGAATCCGTTAACCCCCTCGTGTGCCTTGCACATGAGGGTATTTCTGTCTTTTTACTTATAGGGACCATTTTTGCATACGAATGTATAAAACCTTCTTTATATATCATTTTCTATTCCCAGCTTCTTCCCCAACGAATCTTCTTCCCCAACGTTCTTAACTGTTCTTCCCCAACGGCTATTTTCTTCCATTTCTCCTTCCTGACCTGCAATCGAACAATGGTGGTTTATTTTTGTGGAAAGCTCGCTTTGGTGAAAACGTCTTGGACACCACTGAATCCCGGAAGGAGGTTTTATGCTTGCCCTAATAAGGATTCTGTTTATGGGTTTATCGGGTGGGTTGACCCGCCAATGTGTGCTAGGAGTAAAACCATCATACCTGGTCTTCTAAGAGACATAAATACGTTGGAGGAAAGATGTAATGGGCTGGTAAGAAGTATCAACATGTTACAGGAACAATGCAATGGACTTTTGAGCAGGAACCACATGTTGGAGGCAAGGTGTGATGCATTGAAGGATGAAGGTTTCAAGCTGAAGATGTATTTATGTGCAAGCTGGTTTATGTTTGTGATTGTTATCTTTAGTATTTGGTCTATGTAAGGGATAGGGTTAGACAAATGTGGGGGTTTTTGTTGATCAAGTGATTCGGGATAAAAATGGTATAATTTTGTTGTAAGTTGACTTCATCATTTTTGTAATGAATTCCAATGTTGTTAATGATATAAATGATATTCAACTGTGAAAATGTGTTCATAATGTGTATCAATTGTCAAATATAAGCACATAAATAGAACCAAAATGTAACAAAAGTACATTACCAAAATACGTGTCATAAATTGACCAAAATGCACATTTCATTAACCACATGAGTAGAACCAAAAATCATTACCAAATTAAGCATACAAGTGTCTGTGCACCATACATAACCCATGATCAAACCATAACTAAAGTTTTAAAAAACAAACAGTTTTTAACAAGCAACTAAATAGTCCTTGCACCACAACAAACAACCAAAATCACTTCTTGCCTTGATTCCCACCTTGCCCTTTACAGGTCCTAGAGTTGTGTCCCTTATTCTTGCATTTGCTACAAGTAACACTGATATGTTTCCTTAATAGCTTCTGCACTCCATCATTTGTTGGCCCTTGGGAATCTTGTCCTTGTATCTCATTGACTCCATCATCTTGACTTGCCTTCTGCCTTTTGCTTAACCTTTCACCCTCACTTTGTCTTCTTTTTTTCTTAGGCCTTCCCACCTGAGTGCGATGTGGAGGAGGGATTAACTTTGTTGGACAATTACTTTTAGGCCACATGGGTCTCCCTTTAATTGGTTCCACCTTAAATGAATAAGCTTTTTGCCATGTCTCTAGCCAATACACCTTGTGTACCCACTTGTAAATGTCAAGCTCAGCCTCAGGGTCTTTGCTCATTTCATTCAGAGTTGCAATTGCATGCCTGCAAGGTATTCCCATTAATTCCCACTTTCTTCAAGTGCATGTTTGGTTCCTAACATCCACCACATGCTGATCTTGCAATGCTCTAGTGACTTGATACTTGTTTGCCCCATTCCACCTAGCAATGTATTGTGAAGCACCTTTTTTCCTTGCATATAGGATATCTGTTGTTGTAGGTGTTAGTGGACCTTTAGCCTTCTTCATTGCCTTCATGACATTGCATATCCTCTTCATTAGATACTCCCTAATGAACTCTAAACATGAAATTACAGGTTTGTCCCTGCCTTTCTCTAGCTTCCCATTAAACACTTCACACATGTTTGAAATCAACACATCAGAAACAGCTCTTCCTGCACATTACAATAACATACAATTAATGCTGATGCACACTTGAAACACATAATCATTACCATATGCAAACATATACAATTACCTGAGAAATGACTCCTTGCCTAATGTACAGGAGGAATCTGTTTCAACCATTGGCATGCCTCCTTATCATACTCACTAAACTCCTTCATCATATGCTCAAACTCAGGAATGGTGGTTGCTGATGCACACCTCCATAAATGGTCCCTGTACTCAGTTTGCCCCCACTTCTTTCTCATATTGTCATGAATATGTATAATACAATATCTATGCTCAACATTGGGAAACAATTGATCAACTGCAATTTGTAATCCCTACATGAGTCAACAGACAATAATTATAATTAATCTCTTGGTAAAAAAACACAATGAAATTGATCAATTGATGAACTACAATTCACCTTTTGCCTGTCACTTATGAAAGTATAGTTTGAGTTGCTCCCAAGCTCCAAGTCATCCCCAAGGTTTTCTAAAAACCACTTCCAGCTAGCTGTGTTTTCAGACTCCACAATTGCATAGGCCAAGGGATAAATTCCATTGTTGGAATCTAGACCAACTGCTGTAAGAACTTGACCAGGGAATGGGCCTTTCATGAAGGCACCATCCAAACCTACTAAGTCTCTAAGACATGCCTTGAAACCTTTTTTCAGTGGACCCAAGCATACATAAATCCTTCTAAACTGCCTTGTTGGGGATGCAGGGTTGCCATTAGGACACACATCTATTTTGACTGTTGTGTCTGGGTTTGTAGCTTGAAGTTCAAGAGCATAGTCCCTCAATAATTCAAATTGTTTTGTGTAGTCCCCAGTTACATGCCTTATTGCCATATCTTTTTCCCTAAACACCTTATACATCGAAATACCCACCTGGTAGGTCTTTTGAAAGTGATCTTGTATGGCTCTCAAAGGAATCTTCGGATCTGCCTCAACTTGATCTATGATTTTCTTGCAGATTAAAGAAGCAGTACAAGCTCTGAGTTTTCTTGTTTGTAAGCATGTATGAGTTTGGTTTAAGGTCCTTATAAACCAGTTAGATTTGGGGTTTGACCTAGATGCATGTATATACCAACCACATGTTTCTTTTTGTGTCTTTACTTCTTTTCCCTTGCTTTTTGAAGTGGTAGGTTGAGTCCTCACTTGACCTTTATTGATGACAGGTACAACTCCTCTGCACTGTGCCCTAAGCCTTTGATTGTCATTTTTTTTAAAGAATAGATTCCTTCTTGTTTCTAGTGCATACACATCAATTAACTCCTTTAATTCTTTTTTACTTTTAAACTTTTGTCCCACTGAGAATGACTGTATATGTACTGACCCAAGGCTGCACCTTTTTTCTTTTCCTAAATTTTTTATAAGAGCTCTTCTTTCTCTGTCTTGGTCTGATCCTTCATCCAATGATTCGAACTCCTCATTGTTGATCACTTCCATATCTTCAGGTTCATGACCATCATTAATACATCCTCCTTCAACATCACTTTCAACATTTAGACAGAAGTCTGCCATGTCCACATCAACATCTTCTATATTGTTCTCCTCATCCACCATGTCATCCACTTTATCTTCATTTTCTGATCGTTTCCCATCCTGATCATCACCTTCATCCTTTTCATACTCTTCATCATTCTCTTCAGATTCATCATCCCCTTCATACTCTTCAACATCCTCATCACTTCCAATTAAATTTTCCATAAGGTTATCAAAAAGCTCATTATATTGTTCATCATCATTAACAGGTGGGGTGTTGTAGCATCCTTCAATATGGTCATTATCCTGAACCCCAATCATATCATCCCCTACATTAGCAATATTTGAAGTAATTGTCTTGTAGCATCCTTCAACAACAGTTGCAGCCTCCTGAACCTCCTTAACACCCTCATTAGTGTTTTCCTTCTGTTTTAAATCATCAACATCCTCTAAATTAAGCCTTTTGCTACAAGAACCGTCCCTTCTTTTTGAATTCCCAACTCTACCCCTTCTATACTCTGGTGAGAATGCATCACTTTTACTCCCAAAAAGAATCAAAGACATGTACTCACCAATTGGCTCATCATTGACATGATTCATATTTCTCAATGGTGATTCTACATGAACTTCAGCCTCATATTCAGCCCCTTGATCATCATTTTCTGGTAATTCCTCAATGACAACTTTACCCTTTGCATTTGGAGACATGAAGTAAGTGAGTAGATTTGTCTTCCCATGTTATGTGTACACCTCAATTAACTTGTTATTTCCAATAAATTTAGAAAGATTGATAACATCCTGATCATTCCCCAAAGCTCTAAGACCAAATTGAAAGTCACCATTGGGTATCCTGAAATGGTAGTATATCACTGGGGATTCATCAGTCAATTCAATCATCCGTGGGTCTGGGTAACCTGGGTCAAGCATTATGGCATCAAGTTCATGTACAGAAAACTCATCTATGTCCACATAATCAACATAACGCACTTCACCTCCAGTATACTTTATATCAGGTAACTTAGTAAGCTTCCCACCATGATGAAGCTTAATACTAAACCATGTGGGTGCACCCGCTACAAGTCAAAATTGTACATGATAACAAAGTCAAAATTTGGCGGATTTTAGTATAAATCAAGGGTAAAATGAAAAATAGGAATGTTTAAGAAAACAGAGCAACTTACCATATAAGGATGATACGTCGACAACTTCATTTTTTGGTCTGATCTGCCACATTACGTACACCATTTCGACTTTAACGTATGACCTTGTCTCCTTTTACTTCGATTGGGTTCTTTGGATAACGAAGGATGTTTTTTTGCAGGTTTAATGGAGCAGAAGGAAGAAGGAGGGAGGTGGGGAGTTGACGGGTGTTTGGGATTGTAAATGAGGGATAAAAGGTAGAAGGAAGCGTTGACATTCGTATGCAAAAATGGTCCCTATAAGTAAAAAGACAGAAATACCCTCACGTGCAAGGCACATGAGGGGGTTAACGGATTCTTTTTAACGGGTGTTAAGTACAGGGACCATTCTCACAAACAAACGAGTCCAAAAGGACCACGAAACCAAAAAACTCGTGGTTTGGACCAAAACCCCAAAAAAATGCATACCACAGGGACCATTTTTGCAATTTTGTCTTAAATTAATAAATAGGTATTAACTTTTTTTTTTTTTTTAAATGATATATTTTTTTCAATGCAAAAATGGTCCCTTAGAAGTAAAAAGACAAATATACCCTCATGTGAGAGGCACATGAGGGGGTTAACAGCATCAAGTTAACGGAAGTTAAGTCCGGAGACCAATTCCACATACAAACCATTCTAAAAAGACCATGAATTCAAAAAAACTTGGGTTTGGACTAAAACCCCAAAATTTTGCATACCACAGAGACCATTTTTGCAATTTTGTCTTAAAAATAAGCGATTGAGGAAATTAAAGACTATAATTATAATATTTATAGAAGACGGATTATAAATAGAACATATTGGTAATAATCCATACCCAACCCTTTTAATAAAATGGTTAACGGATATGAATAGTTAACGTATAAACGAATCAAAATTAAGATCTAAATTCTTATAATTTTTATAGATTTGGATTAAATCATGATCAAAACTCACTATATTGAAATGTCTCATATATGGGTCAATGGGTGCGGACTTAAGGAACATTGGACTTGATTTATGGCAACCCGATTAAACTTAAATCGTTACTCTTATTATCATTACTTTTTATAAAGTTAAATGATTAAAATAAAAGGTGTCATATTACGAAAATATCATATTATGAGTATTTTTATAAAAATTCATTTTATAAAATGGATTTTGCAAAAAAAAAATTTCTTTTGTTGTAACCCGGTTAAACTCAAATGACTACTCATATTACTAAACGACATCATCTTTTATCAAAATGACATTCATACTATTTGCAAAATAGGAATTTTCTTTTGTGAACTTTTATTACTTAAAAGTAATTTCATAAAGTCAATTAGTAACATGTCGTTCTTCAAGAAATATATGTTAAATTATAATGTTTACATATAATTATAATTACAAAGTTTAAAACTTTCATTTTATTATGTCTTAGAAAATATTCTATATATATCCAGATTTCACGATTTTTAACAACCTTAATTTTCTGTAAGATTTTACGCTCATTATTTTTTGTTTCGTAACTAATTATTTTTTAACCGTGCGTCCAAACACCTCCAAAACTAAAACGAACCCTAAAATGGCTCACTTTGCGATTTGGCAGTTGCTATAGCTCCGAGGTACTCATCGCTTCGATTTCCGAGAGAGAAAAAACAGAGAAAGATGAGCGGTGCAGGGAAGAAGGTGGTGGATGTGGCATTCAAGGCATCAAAATCTATCGATTGGGATGGCATGGCGAAGATGATCGTCACCGATGAGGCTCGTAAGGAGTTCTCGTCACTCCGCCGTGCCTTTGAGGAAGTCAACTCAACTCTTCAGACCAAGTTTAGCCAGGTCATTGAATCAATCTCTCTAATCATTTTATATACTTATCGATTGACGGCATGTGTTTATCTATATTGAATCTATTGATGTCAAATGTTAAACGATACGGATCTGCATTCTATTGGATAACTAGGGTTTCTGTAATCCGAAACATTCAGATTAGGTTTGATGCTGATATTGTTCTTTTATTTATTTACATTGATCATGATTTGTGATCTGTACTTTTTTAATAGTAACACTGTCGTAATGATTTTACATCGAGAGGTTTCGTTTATTTGTGTATATATGATGAATAATTTTGACTCTGTAGGCTATAAATTGATCGTAATTTTGGAACTCGCAATTTCTTTGCTGAATTGGATTGTCAAAAGCATTTAAATTTCCATACAACCTGTAGATGCAATTGAAATGAGAAGATGCATATGACATGGTTTTGAGAATTTAGGTATACAAAAGGGGAAAGCATACCCATGGAAGCTCACTGACCATTTTATATAATTTTTCTAGACTTAAAAATACCTGACTCTTCTGTGCTTGTTTCCGCCTATTCTACTGTTGTCATCTAATCCAGAAACTTCAAATTCTACTGTTGGCATCTTAATTATATGAAATATCTTTATAATCAGCATTCATAGTATATCAATTAATGATTTTTCTTGTTGGCTAATTCAGGAGCCAGAACCTATTGATTGGGAGTACTACAGGAAAGGGCTTGGATCCCGCATTGTTGATTCTTACAAAGAATATTATGAAAGTAAGTCTTTCTTTACCAACAAACAAACATGCATACACTTTTATACAAACCATGGTAAGGCAAAATTTACATTCATGATCCTCTTTACAGGTGTTGAAATCCCAAAGTTTGTTGACAAAACTACCCCAGAGTACAAACCCAAGTTTGATGCACTGGTAAGAAACTATATACTTTTAAATTTTAGTTCTTGAATTCTGATCTGATAATATATATTTGTAAACTTGAAATGACAGTTGGTGGAACTGAAAGAAGCAGAGCAGAAATCTCTCAAGGAATCTGAAAGACTTGAGAAAGAAATTGCTGATGTGCAAGACCTCAAGGTAAGAAACAATGATGATGTGGCAAAAATTTTAAACTTAAAATCCATCCATTTTAAATGGTTATTTGTTTGTTGATAATTGAATTTAATTGTTTGATTATGACAGAGAAAGCTTAGCACCATGACTGCTGATGAGTACTTTGAGAAGCACCCAGAGTTGAAGAAGAAGTTTGATGATGAAATCAGAAATGATTACTGGGGCTATTGATTTTGATTTTTCTTGGGGTGAAGGAAGGAAGATGTATTTGTTTTTGTTATAGAAATAAAGCAAGAGGAATGAAGATGCTTGGGTTTTTATTTGTTTGGAAGTTTGAGGGAAAAAAAACATGGAGTTGTACACTCCATGATGGTGACGAAATCGATCCCAAAATGATGAAATACATAAATCTGAATTTGATGGGATATGTTGTCATGTTGAATACAATCGTTAATTTTTTGTTTTGCCCTTCATCTCCTTTATTATTATGCTCCCCATCGAAATTATCTAAATCAATAAATTGTGATGATTTGTAACCTCTTTTTTTTTTTTTTTTTTTATTGTTGCCCTCTCGTATCCAACCTAATAATCAGCTCATTCGTACTATGTGCCACCAGAACAGTCGTCGGCATATAAAACATACACCATGATACCCTTCCTCTGATATCATGATAGATCTCATCCATAATAAAAACAAAAATGTATGGCTAAGAGTTGATCATAACTGTAGCCTAGGAAAAATCATATGTTGCCAACTTATGTATGCTGATTATCCCCGTCACAAACCAAACCCAATCTAAATTTTCTATTAAAAAATTAATTTTTCTTCATTTGCCTATGCAACCCAATCCAACAAAATTTTCACCCCCTTAGCAATCCAATCAAAACAACTACTTATTATATATAAAAAATTAAAATTAAATAAGAAATATATCGATATTATACTCTATTTAAAGATATTTTTTTTATAAAACTTAGTATTTATTACTAATTTTATTGAGATAATATTTAATGTATAAATTACAAATCAATAAAAAATAAAATGACGTATAAAAGAAAAAATAAAAGTAATGTAGTGAGCAATTGTGAGTTGGGGTTGTAGTGGTGGCCTAGTTCACCATTAATTATTTAATTTTTATTTTCTTATTTAAAAAATTGTTGAGCGGATTGCTTAAAACCCCCAATGGGGGTATCCTAAGAGTCGATCATCGGCGTAACCTAGGAAAGACCATATGATGCCAACTTATGTATGATAAGAGTCGATCGTCAGTGTAGCTTAGGAAAGACCATATGTTGCTAATTGTAGTTCGGACATATGTCATAGACCCGTAGGACCTGTAGGCCCGTAGGACCTGTAGGCCCGTAGGACATGACTTGTAGGACACCTTGACGTAACTCCGTGGAACCCTTGTGGCTAATAGGGTCCTCCTAAACATCTTATGTAGCATATGTTATCATGTGCCTTTTTTCATCAATGAACACTATATGGAGTAGGGGTGAGCTCGGTTACAGAACCGGACTGAAAAACAGAAAACCAAATATATGGATATGGAGAAATTGAGAACCGAACAAAATTACATATTCGGTTCCCAATCGGTCATGTTCAGTTCGGTTCCAACGAGAATTTTGATCACTCCTAGTTGTTAAAGTTCAGAACAGGAACCGAAAAAACGAAAGTCGGATTTATGGATATGGATGAACCGAGAATATAACTTAATTACATAATGGTTCCCAATCGGTCCAGGTTCCAACGAGTATCTTGCTACCCCTAATATGGAGGTCCTCATTTTTTTTTCCTTATGTTTCTTTCATAAGGCGTTCAAGAAGGTGGATAGCCCCATTCATCGACCTCGTTGGCATGTAGTCAAATTGATTTTTTTAAGTATTGTTGTAACATAGCCTCCAACACACTCTCTCATAGTTTATGGCATGACTAAGCGACTTAATATCATGATAGTTATACCTTTCAGCATCTGTTTTGTTCTTATATATCGGTCTCTCAATGTTATATCTCCATTCTTTTGGCATCCTTGTCATCTTTATTATAATTTAAAAGAGATTCGTTAGCCACTACACCTCCTACTCTCTCATACACAACATAATGATATGGATTTGGTCTAGCCCTATAGATTTGTCCATCCCCATTCTCCATAATGCCATATTTACTTCCTCAATTTCAATTTTCTTTTAAATCACTCATTGTACTTCTATTGGCGCCTATTCCCTTCATACTCCTATCCCTCACCCACAAAGCTTGTCTCGCTAAACAAAATGAAAGTAACTAATCATTTTCTTCTTAAGATCTACATCCTTAACTAGAAATCAGTCAATATCATTCCTTAATATAGCTTCAATCCTTCCCTCAAGTTTAAAATTTCCATTTCTCCCCTCTTTTGTATTCAATTGTATATATCTTTGTATTTTATTGACTTCACTTTAGTCACTACTTAAAAAAAACTTCATAAAATGACTATTTTGATGGTGTAATCAACTTTGCATAACGCTATTATTATTTTAATTTACTAAACCAAAAAATCAACAAACTAACTGACCACAAATCAATATATGTTTATAATCGCCAATACCTAAAACCATTAGTCTTGAAGGATGCGACACAACATGTATTTAGAGCAAACAAAACTGGAAATGGTGGTGTCATTAGTAACTCCAATAAAAATCCTTGGCATGAAGTATGATTGGTTTGAAATACAACACTAACATGAAACAAGATGATAGAAAACCAAAACTTGTGGGTAGGGTTGCATTTAGATCTTGTTGAATGCAACAATGTCACAACTCTGCACATACTCATTGATGGGCTCAGCTGTAAGTCGATCCTCAATCAGATCATCCACAGAAACAAGATCATCAACAATGGTCAACATGATCGTCATCTTCTTTATCCCATAACCAACTGGCACAAGTTTTGCTACAAAAAAACATCAAACAACAACACCAATTATATTTTTAGCAGTGAATTTCTATACTTTATTTGTATTTCAATGACATTGCTATAATAAACCATACATTGTCCCCAATGAAGACCTTCTAGTTCAACACTTCGAACAGCCTCCTCAAGCTTCTTCATGTCTGTCTCATCATCCCATGGCTTTACATCCATAAGAACAGATGATTTCCCACCTAAATTATACGTGGAATTAAAAAGCTGATAAAAGAGAAAAGAAAATAGAACAAAACAAAGAAAAGGTGAACAAACTCACTCTCTTTCTTCTTTGTTGAAGCTTTTGCTTGATCCCTAGCTTCAGCTGCCTTCTTTTCCTCTTCGGTCTCATCAGCAAAGAGATCAAGGTCATCATCATCTTCAGCTGCAGCTTCAGCTTCCTGAAACATTCACATGGATCAAAACTCATTAAGTTTGGGAAAAATATCAAAAAGATGAAAGCAGAAGGGAATGTGAAACACACCTTGGGAGCTTCCTTGACTGGAGCAGCTTCCTCTGATGGAGCTTGAGCAGAGACTCTCACCCCAAGAGATTTGCCAGGGAAACTGCATGATTTAGTTGTAAAAGATAAGTACCAATGGAGATCACACATACCACTATGGATTCACTATGCTATGTCAATCCCACTTTGATCCCCATTAAATTATCAATTTTGAGCCTCAACTCAATTGTGTGGCTTTTATTAATTGCATATACATAATTAAGGTCGTATGTAGCTGTGGAATTGACAGACAAATTATATTATTAGCATAGAACTATATCGTGATTCACTCGTCTACATCATGGTTGACTATCTACTGAGTTAAATTACCGAATGCCTAGATTACTATTAAACCCAATCGATAACAATCGCTGAAGCATAAGAAAGGTGCGGTAAACGGAATAGAGTTCAAACAGACCTTGATGCAAGCTGTGAAGCAACGCACTCGTACCACTTACTAGCAGTGGGGTACAGATCGGCACTTGGTTTATCCAAAACAGCAGCGTAAACCTTAACGTCATCCTTTGTGATTTGATCACTGAATCATTCGAATGAAAACACAACAATTATACAAAACAATATACTGAATCTGGTAAAAACAAAGATACGAGTGAATTGAGTAATGACTAATGAGTAACTACTATGCAATACCGACCCAGAGATGTAAGTTTTTCCGGAGAGGAAAGCTTCAAGAGCCTTCAGGCCAGCTTCGGTTTGCAGATCGGAGAAAGTAACAGCCATCTCTGTAGATTTTGTATGTGGAGATCGGTGAGATGGACGGAATAAGCGGGATGACGGCCGGTAGAGTTTGGGTGAGAGGGGTTAGCAGGATGAAGAGTTGAGGTATTTATATATGGACCGGGAATTTTGGGACAAAAACCCTAGATCCAGTGAAGCATAATTCCTAGATGCCTTTTTTTCTTTTCTTTTCTTTGGTCAAAATATAGAGTCATAAAAAAATAATAATAATAAAATTGAAATTCTTTGACAAAAAGATTGAATTTGTTGTATTCGTTTTATCACTTATAATAAGGCCTTATGCAATGGTTACCACGAGAAGAATCGTGGTCTATGAGATCACGATCGTAATTCGTGCACACCGCCTCCCAAACCTTCATGGTCAGGCAAGGTCATGGTGTTTCATGAAGCCAAAAACGACATACATCGCTCAATAAAAATCATTTACTCTTTGACTTTTCCTTTAACCATGTATAATGGTGACTTTAGGCATCTTTTTTTATTAAATTTCTATCTATATAAATACCATTATAAACCTTTTTATTTTCACACAAGTCTTCTCTCATATTATTCATATTCACACATTTGTGCTACTCTTTCAAACCATGGCTCTCAAAATGATGAATTGGTCAGAAGATGAAGACGAGAAGTTAGCACAAGCATGTGTGTCGGTTTCAGAAGATGAAGATAGTCAAATCTCTATAGATTTTTTGGGAAAAGTTTTAAGCTTCTTCTATGGTTTAATGAGCTCTACAAGTTGAAATCCCGACGAAATATGTTTGAAGTGACACGATATGATTGTGAAATGTTGCGAGTTCAATGGAATTTTCAATTTTGTTATAAACCATGTATACGAAGGCGATATCGATCTGGTTAATGTACCCATTGATAATTTGAAAACACAAACCTAAAACGTTTTGTACATCTCAAAGCTTGACAAAAGTTGAAGAATTCCTCAAAATAAAATAACGCTGTTTAAAAACATAGGATTAAGGATAGTTGTTTTTGTTTGAATTTTTTATGTTTTCTTCTATTTTATTTTAGATTGTCGTTTTTTTTAATTAATGTAATATCTTTTTAATTTAATGGAAGCCTAGTTTAAAAAATATATGTGTGTTTATTGTATTTTTGAATTAAATTTAATTTAAAAAATGATGTGGAGTGATGTGTTACTGGTAGGTTTTTTGGAAACGACAAATGATTAAACGGAAGCCTACTCGCATATTTCAACGAGCACCCCGGGTTCGAGCTCCTTTACAGGGCAAACCCAGCCCCCATAGGGGTTTCTAGGGAAAATTTCCCCA